AGTTTTCATTTTCTGCATTCGGCGAAGCCATGGCTGAAATAGGAAGCCAAAATGATACCGGATTCACGGCCAGCCACTGCATGCATGAATTTTCATCCATGCGCATTGAAACTCGTCCCAGATCACGAACCGCGTTCAACCGTAGTAGTCTACCGTAGCTGCCCTATCTTAAACTCCCTAATGACTCGTTGGCCGTGACACAAAGAAATTAATGGCGGACGAAAATAAATCGTAAAATTTTGGCCCTTCCCTTTCGATTATTAGAAAGATATTTCAGTGAGAGGTTCTTAATGTGTTCAAGATTATTTCAGCAAAGTTCCAGCTCGAATGAAAGAGTTTTAATTTTGGAACRATTTTCGTCCAAGTGGCCCTTTAATGGCAAAAACTCAGGTTAATACTAATCTTGTAAAATTCAACTAAATATACACTAAAACATTTTGATATTTTTTAAGATAAATTTTTGTATCTGACTTTTCTTTCCTACGCCTTGTGCGTTGGCTTCGCCTTTTTTCTTTGCTTTTACATAGATGTATTATTTATTTTCGTATGTATTGCACGAAACAGTAAAATCTGTATCTAAAATATAATTAAGTTATAAACGATAAAGAGAAAAGATGCGACTTTTTGACCGGAACAAAAATAATTGCTTGATGAAACACAACTTCAATAACTTCAATAGCTTTTCAAAAAATAAATTGAAGCTGCGAGTATCAGGCCTCGGCGGAATGCCTAGGGGGGCAGGGCTATACTCAGGTTAAAAGAAACAAAACACGTTGAGAATAGTTTTTAAAATATTAAAAACGAAAAAAAAGGGCAAAAATCACGAGAAAAGTATTGGTAATTTTCTTACAGACAACTTATCGACTACAGTTCAATATCGGCTAGCCTAGTTTTGATTTTCAACTATCATTACTATTATCATATTTAATATCAAGAGAACCTTTCAAAAACTTTATTATAGAATATAGAATACAAAGTGTTATATTAAGTAAGACTTTGAAGTTCTTTAACAAATGAACTTAACTTGACAATAGACTACTAAGGTTTCTACTTCATGTAATATTACATATAATGGAATACCACGATCCATTATCTGTAACTTCACACGAATTACTGCCCTCTACTTGGCTATTTGCGCAAGACTCTTTTCTAAGTTGAGTTCAACTCATCTGTTATTTTCCTTTTCACCTGTCTGTTTGTATCCTCAGATCATTCCCCACGGAGACATCTGTAGTTCCCGTGTATTGTGGCACGTCTTTTTTCCTTTTCGTTCTACAGGAAGCAACGAAACCCGCTTACCTTGAATTTGCAGTCAATATTTATTTTACGTTACGAAAAACCTTGTCATAAGACACTCAAACCGCTTCAAGACCAGGCAATTTCCAGGTTAGTTGAAAACATTTACTTTACTCTTTCTCAGGATATTTGCTTGAGATTGTTGAACATTTATTCCCAAAAATAGCATTTATTTTCGTTATCTACTAACTAAAGATAACCGTGTTTTATTGATCACAATAACACTCAACGTTGAAAATTAGGCATCTCACATCTCGCCTGGGTATCGTCTCCTGAGTCTGTATAGGCATCCTCAATCACCTTTTTTTCTCGTATTGTACTGACAAACCCAGCCGGTGAGCAATTTTAAGCGGATTTCTATTTTCGACTTTATTTTTGTTTTACACCAAAACTTTATAATGGCTTAGAGTTTTGATTAAAAGTTGGATCTTATAACAAACAGTAAAAATAAAAAACATTTTTTCTGGTTTGAACTGGACCTGCAATTCGCTATGCAGTTCTCGATTTCCGCATTAAAAAAATTATTWAAAAAAACCTTTCTTTTAAATCTCGTTAAGTAGAAAGAATACTGAAAAAGAAAAAAAAACATTGCAAAATAGATCAAATTTTGCGTGCAAAATAAGTTTAAAATCTAAAATTTGTTATTATTTTATGATGGAAACGAACTCTAGTCTACTCGGTTTTTTCGCTAGCTGAAGTTTTTTTTAAAATTTTTGTTAACTTAGCGAGCGTAATACCAAGTTGTCTCTCAAATCTTTCTAAAATCCACAATACGAACGTCAAAATAAAGGATTTTTCACCAGTGAGGCTGTCGGCAATAAGGTGTTATTTGAGTTCTGTATAAGTGGACTCTAGAGCATAATTTCCATATATATTTAACCTGAATTGTCTTGTTTTAAAATAAAAAAATGTTAAAGCAAATAATAGGTATAAATGTTTGAATATACTAACGCAAAATAAATAAGTAAATAAAAAAATCACTCGGGTTTAAGTTACATTTTTTAATGCTAAAGAAGTCGAAAGTATGAAGTTGGAAGTCGTACATAATAAACCATTAGCTTGGGCGGTAGTTAATCTTCTTCTCAAGAGGGAATTAATTGATATACGTGGTCTGAAATAGGCGAAAACATTACGCCCGCGCGCAAAGGGTCTATTACATCGAGAAGCGAGTTTAATTGACTTTCCCAATTCGTGCCGGTTTGAATTAGGCTAATGGAAGACTGTAGCTTTTAAAGTCATTCAGTTTCATTCCTTTTTCAAAACAGTGAAGGAAAGAAAAAAAATGAAAATAACGGGAAATAGTGATATGGAATAGCTTTTCTGAGGCCCCGTCCACACTATGCCGGATAAATTTGAATCCGAATTTTTATTTATTCGGTTAGACCTACCGTCCACACTAGTCCCGGCGAATCCGGAACAACTCTTCACCGAAAACGACTTTTTTCGAATATGGTCTTCAGAGTGGAACAATTTGAAAACGCCGGCTAGCCGTATTAGTGTGGACGGAGAACATTTCGTATCCGAAATTTTTCGAATACGATGACGTCATGATTGTCATGGGAACATGGCGGGAAGGCTAAAAATTCACCGCAGGCTCAATTTCAGCTTCGATGCACATGCTCTGATGTGCAATGAAGCGTTTTTGCCGCCTCTGATCGGACTAGTGTGGACGCGAAACATTTTATCCGTTTTCATGTGTGGACGGAAATTTTTTTTTTCGGTTTCGGTGTGAAAGTTGCGGATTCAAATTTATCCGGCATAGTGTGGACGGGGCCTCTGAGATAGCGAACATATGGTGCATTTTGGCCTAGCTTGAGTACAAACACCTTTTTTTCATCATGCCTTATATGGTGTTGTTCGTACCCAAGCTAGACCACAATGCACCTTGTTTGCGGAACTCGGAAAAGATTTACGAGGCGAGCAAAATGGCCCAAAAAGAATTATAGAATAAGTTTAGAACTCTTTTCTTCATGGTAGTAATTTCTTGAAAAAGCATGGAAATTATCTTGAGAATGTTAAATTAAAAATTCCCTAAGGTTAGTCCCCATGGCGCTACGTGGAGCAATTTCTGAGATGATTCATCAAAGATAGCTTCAAATTATCAGAGAGGTCAATATGAAAGGAAACAAAAATGAAGATGAAGTTGGGACACCCGACGGTGATAACGCGTTTTGGACGATAATGATTCAGGATCAACACAAATCCATAACGTAGAGAACGAGCGATCTTTTAGTTTGCAAACAAAAAATGTTGTTCACGTAATATATCTTTAGATGAAACCATTCTAGTTTAAAAGCTTGGCGAAACGTTTTGCTAAAACACGAGCTCATATATGGCAACTGTTATGACCACTGCCATTACCATCACTATGGTGACTACTTACATTGCTATGGTGATCACTACAATCACTATGGTGCACACTAACATTACCATGGTGATCACTACAAACACTATGGTGACCTCTTCCATTACTATGGTGATCACTACAATCACTATGGTGACCACTAACATTACTATGGTGATCACTACAATCACTATGGTAACCACTAACATTACTATGAAGATCACAACAATCACTATGGTGACCACTAACATTACTATGAAGATCACAACAATCACTATGGTGACCACTAACATTACTATGAAGATCACAACAATCACTATGGTGACATTGCCTTATTCAGCCTAATTAAGACGGGGATTGCTCGTATAGTGAGCGGTCAATCTTAGCTAAATGACGATAAACCAATATGAATCTTAACGAATCTTTATGAACTGTGTTGTTATTAATACTAGAAAATTACCTCTTCCTTTTCATGTGCGAATGTTTTTTGGGACGGTGGGGCTGAGTTATAGGGTAAGCCTCATTCTAGAAGTCGTGCGTTTCGTATTTGTGTAAGGACGTAACAGTAAATCATACAATGCTGATCCCTCATTACTGACGTCATCAAAACCGGTAGATGTATTACACTGGACAAGCTGAATCAGCATGAGCACAGCAAATCAGGAAACAGTCAAAGCAATTCAGCTGATGTAATAAACTCTTCTTTTTTTTCTTGTTTCCCAAACAAACTCCACGACTCTGGCCGTGATTAGATAATTAAAACTAACTTCACGAAAATACATTGCGGGAATCAAGAAATTTTTAATTAATTGTCTTTTAAAGCCTCTCCGGTTTTTCTGTACTTGACTGAAATTTCCAACTCAGGTGAAGGACAATCGCTCTGTGGATCAATAAAGCACCCAATTTGTTTGAACAGACTCAAACAGGAAAATTATATACTCAGGCAATCAGGTAGTCGTCTTTTGATGGAGTGAGTGACGAGTGGGTTGAAATATTAAAAATTTCTATCACCAAACAAAACAATATATTGATATATAGGTTTATTGGTGTGGGTGACCGTACTTTATTTATTTCTTATTTATTAATCAAGTTTTTTCAGGCTAGTGGTAAATAGTAATTGCGACTTTCCATCTCAGTTTTGACTTGGAAACGATTCAACGCTTCGTGACCTAAAATTTCTGTGTGCGTGAGGTAGAATTGAATCATTTACGTGCGTAGTCTTGGATATTACTTTTGAACGCTCTTTTTATGCACTTCTTTAGACAATTCATTAAATTGCCGCATTTGATGAAAAATAGTCAACGAAGTGACCTCTAATGAGGTATTTTAACCAAGTCATCTTTTCTGTTTTGTGGTTTAATTGGGAGCATCTAAAGTCGGGACCAAGAGAATATAAACGTGTGTTCATATTCTCTTGTCGGGACTTCAGCCTAATAAGTTTGTGGTAAAACAAACTGAATTTCGTTTTTTCAATTTGCACTTGAAAGCTTACGGACTGATCCTTTGACAGGTTGTTGATGATTGGATTTCCATGGAAGCGGTTGCCTGGTGACGCTTTCTATAATCAAATATAAGTGCTGGCAATCTGTCAGATAACTTAATGGTCCACCCAAGTGCAATGGCAAATACAGAGTGCAAGGAAAACGAACCGGCCCTGACACTTGGATTCTATTTATTTATTCTTTAAAAGGAGTTGGTCATTGAAGAGTTTTTATGAAGAAAAAGGGCAAAATATTAGATTTTTACAGCGCCCACTTTTTTCCCTGGCTTTGGCAGCTTCAAACAGCGCCACAAGTGATTTGATTTCTAGCAACTAAGATTGCTCTTTTCAACGACATGATGAACTCATGGGCGCTTTTGAACGTAAGTATTCACGAAACTTGTAATAACTTCAGACCATAAATTCATTTACTTTGAAAAGAAAGTTATTCCTTTAACCATTTGATTTCAACTGAAAAATGATGTAACTAAACTTAGAATAAGTCAAATACTAAAACTGCTCATTTATTCTTACGAAATTCAAACTACTTAATCTAAAATGCACATTGATTCTTTTTGACGCCTAATTTTAATGCTTTCATCTTTGATTTTGATTTGAATTTAAAAAAAATTTTTTTTTAAATATGGCTTTTAAAATGAACCCGGACTCGAAGCCGACAAGGAAGTTGTCCCACGTCTTCCTGTAAATCTCTTGCTGCTATTCCTAGTATAATCTCTTTTTTTATCTCGAGAAAAACACTTAGTTTTAGCTTTCCTTCAAAGTACAATTTCCATAGAAGTTTGTACTAAAAACAACCTCATTATTCACTCATTTTAAGTTAATTTTTCATTAATTCTTTTTTTTTAAGTTCAGAGACATCAACTATTTAAAGGATGCATGAAAAATTGATTTAATCTTTCGCTTTTCTTGATATTGCTCAACAGTCGAATTCGCTAAAAAAATCATTTACTGTTTTGAAAACATGAGAATGACGGAAACAGTGATTCAAATTAATTCAGACGAAAGTGACGCCGCTATTTAGAATCTTCAATATGCGTTGCTAAACTTGCGTGTGTCCTCATCAAGCAAATATCGATTTGCTTTAAGATTTAAAGTTAATTACGAGTTCAAAAAAAGTTCAAACACTTTCAAAACAAGGTAACTTATTTCCATCCAATCCAATCCAATCCCATCTGATCATTTCATTTAGACCGCGATTAGATGCAACGGTTTCTATTATCGAGCTTGAATTGAATTGTTTATAATCAAAGAAGAGAATGAATCTTGTCTTTGAAATCTTGACAATTAACAGCTTTTACAATAAAAAGTTTATTGTTATTCTTATTTCAGTTCTGAGGGAATGAGATTAATGATTTAAGCCTTTCAACGAGCTGTCGTAGCTTCGCTACCGACAAAAGAAATCACTTCGTTTGATTTCTATTTCTCTTTCAAACTTACCTTAAGTTCTACTCTATATATACCGCCCTAGTCCCGTGATACCATATACAAGTTATACCTTAAAATAGATCATAAAAATGATCTGATTTTATCAGAAGGCAAACCAAGCGATTTTTGACTCCTAAACAAGCTATTTTTGAAGGGTTCGCAACGATTTTGAAGACAATATACAAAAGTGGACCGATACCATTTCTCACGGAAATATTTTATATTTTTCTCAACGAAATTTAGTTTCAACTTTACAACTTTTTTTTAGTAATCGGTTGTTCAGTTTCATGCAAATCATGTAATCGGAAAACTGTCGTGAAAGATAAAGTTAAAATTTGTAAAATGGTGATGTTTAAAAAATGAAATCGCACGATCTCGAGTAGAATTCGTAATTTAAAGGTACGAGTGATGTTTTGAAAGTGTTCGAAATTGGACGAGCCTTTTAGGCGAGTCCAATTCAAGACCTTTCAAAACATCACGAGTATATATAAATTCCGAATTGTACAAGAATATTTAGCGATTTTTTGTTTATAATAAATGTTTATAATTGAGGAATTTAATTGGGACTCTACAGAGTACAATTTGGGATTTAATTGTACTCCTTTTGTTTAATCAGAATCGAGTAATTTTGTTGAGTGTATCCTAATGTATGAAAACACTCGGTGGCTGTCTCTCGCCTCCAGCAAAGTTTTTCAGTTTTTACAAAATTCACACTTTCAAAAATGATATCTTCGCGAGTTTTAAACTTATTTCCTTCAAACTTCACAGTTTTACTGATTTTAACATGCTATTTCCAGTTATGTTAATTTATACATGATAAAAGCTCATTGCGTCTGGCAAAAGTTTTGTGTTTCCATAGCAACGGCAGCCAATTTGTAAAGTGCCTGTTTACGCATGCATCAGTAAAGCAAATATATCTAATCTCCCATTTTGAGGAGTAAATCTGAATGACAAGGCAGAAAAACGGTTTTTGGCCTTTCACCATGAGGACAGCTTTACGTATTTAAGCTCGATATTTTACAAACACGTTCTTTTGGAGCCAAATAGCAAAATATCAGATTTTTGTGGATTTTTTTTAAAAAAAATTAACGAATGCGTATTTGAGATATAAAGCCATGTATTTTGGGAGAGGTGATATTTTGATCAGCAGAAAAACTGACATTTTCGTGAATAGTATAAGTCAGGATTAACTCTAATTCGACAAAATTTCGTCACAAGTTTCGAGCAGCAGTGACACAAATGAAACGCTTATAAAATTGGAGTATTAAATTAAGTCAAATAAAAAAATCGTGAAAGTAGCGGGCTTGTCGTTTTTCTGCCCTGTCAATCTGAATGGCTTTGACGCATCAAAAGCAGTACGCTGCTATTGATTCTTGGTTTATACCTCTAATGGGACTTTTGTCATTTTTCATCTTTCTTTCAGTTGTTGCTATGCGTGTCAGTGTTCGCAGAAATCGCTGCTTTTTCATTGACAAGGCTAACAAGGATAAACAATCCCCGACACATCCCTACAGAGGGGGATGATTTTGTACCAGTTTCTCCAAGCTCAAGCGATCAAGGTAAGAGAAGCAATGGTTGAAATGGGATTTAGAAGTTGATTATTTTAGAAGGAGGAAAACCAGTAACCCGGATTAAAACTCACGGAGCACAGGAGAGAAACAAACAACTTAACTTACGGCGGCTCCGAGAGTTTGAACTGACCAACAGTGCATGTGTCATGGCCGCCATGTTGGTTTACTCGAACGAAAGATCTGGTATTAGTGTTTTTTGTTTCATCAACCAACATGGCGGACATGTTATAGTCTCGGCCTTCCCAGACCCCTCTCTGTCAAGTTTTAAAATTAAAAATGGGGTCTTAGCGCTGACGTTTAGACCAAAAGATGAATGCCTAAAACTCATTTTACGCTAATGAACATGCTAACCCAAATATGGTCAAACGCCATTTTGAATATTTCAAAGCTAATTAAGGCATTTTCCCAGACCATTCCTCATTCGTATGGTGGAGAGGGGTCTGGAAAATCGAAATGTATACATCAGTAAATGACATCAGTAAAAATGACGTCACCTCTATTATTCTAATAGCTCGTTATATTCTATTGAATAGCTTTGTCGTCTAAAGAGCAACAGCTTCCGGCTCTACGAAATCTCTTCATCAGTTCAGTACCTCGAGTTTCTACTTTGTTTGGATCGTCACCCTTGCCCGAAGAAGAAAAGGCACCCGAACCTGAATCCACTCAAGAACCTATTCCTGAGAGTGAAGGAACAAAGGGTCCGAAATCCGAAGCCGAGCCGAACGGGACGTCGGAATCCGAACCAGAACCGGAGGCTGAAACCTGGCCCGAACCAGGTCCTCTCTGGAGCGAAGCTTTCAAAACCTGGAAAAGCGCGTGGAGTATTCATATTTACCTGTCCGCCACCGCGTATCTTCTAATGGCATTCTACGCAGCTTACTACGTCGTGTTTAATGTTTATGATGGGCTGGATAAGAAATACCTTAGCGTCAGTCTCAACATCATGGTTCTCGTATTCTGTCTATCAAGATCCTTTATCATGTATCTGGACCCTTATCACCAAGGGGACATTATCCATGCTTTAAAAGTCATGCATCTATTATGGTCTATTGGGGGACCTTGTTTGACCGCTGCGGATTCGTTGATCATTTTAGCGCTGTTAGAAATGTGTCATTTGCGTATCACAATCCCAAGTCTCCAAAGGGCATCGGTGATTTCTGTAATCGTGACATTACACTTCTTTTTCGTCATAGTGACCGACTTTGTAGTTGCAGAGTATGTCTCTGCCAAAGGAATGATCTTGTTCTGCCAGATATTCTACTTGATTTGGGGGTTCGTCCTCGGAACGGGGTACATGAGGCTTGGCTATGTGCTAGATCGGCAGCTCTTTGGCCACAAACCGAAGAAGGACAAACAAGATAAGCTGTACATCTTTTTGATTTACGCCTCGGGGATCGCAAACTATGGGCTCGTACTTATAATGCTGTACACTGCAGTGGGGGTATTTGGTGTTTATTCTAATGTGAAATTCGTCGATGCTTGGCACTGGTATATTCTACAATCTTTATCCCGCTTTAGCGAAGTTATAACATGTGTTCTAATCTTCACTGTTAGTGCCAAGAGGACCCGCGTAAAACAAGCCATGGATGATATATCTGCTATTGAAAGTCGACAAGGATCTGAGATCCCTACCACGCGAGAGTCAGCAACGCCTAAACAACAGTGGAAACGAAAGGTCGGTTTGCTGCAAGCGAAAAAGGTCGTTGTGCAGCCTTTTGAATCGACCGAAGACATGATGTCGACCAACCTAATGCCTGGGGCACGTCGGGAAAGGAGAGTTAGTATGTTCACCGACATGGAAAGCACGAATAGAATCGTGATGAAGATGAAAAGCGCTAAAGCTGAAAGAGACCTTACGCTTGCGAGGGCCAAGGAGGCCGACCAAATGAAATCGATATTCTCTTGGAACAATGGCTTGATTTCTACCTTTGAGCAAAGTGATCTTGAAGTAGATGCGCCAGCCTCGAAAGGAGAAAATATGGAGAATGGTTACAATTTAAATGAGCTGCAAATAAGTACTGACGAAAAAGATTCTGATTTAAGACCTAATTTACAAAGCAGTTTCAACGGCTTCTTCAAAGATCCACGAAAGCGCTCAAGGTCTCATACAAACGAGGCCTACAGAGATAGAAATGTTCCTAAAATCGACGAAGAACCCGAGGACAAAGCATCGAAGCGTTCTGCTGTAAGGAAGATAAGTGCGCAGGTACTCAGGCGTCTGTCACAGCCTTTTAAGACAGGACATCATAAGGGGGATAATGATGTGGTCGTTCTGCAGGATGAACTTCAAGGAAGCCACACACATGATAATGCGGGGTTTCAACGTGATGAAAGAGAACTACAGGACATGCCTAATGTTCCGATATGACGGGTGTTCTTGCAAGCTCGTCTACATGATGCGTTGCACTCGTCAATAGATACTTTGCGCTCGTTACCACAATGCTTTGCGCTCTTCACCACAATGCTTTGCGCTTGTCACCATGATGCTTTGCAATCGTCACCACAATGCTTCGATCTCGTCACCACGATGCTTTAGGCGCGTAACCATAATGCATTTCGTCCGCCCCAATATGCTTTGTGTTTTTCATCAAAAAGCATTGCGCCTGTAATCACATGGGTTTTGCGCTCATAACTACAGTACTTTCCTATTAAAACCAGCAAGCTTTATTGTCAGCAGAATACTTTGCGCTTATTACAGTAATGAGTCAAAGGCGTAAAACTTCAACACTAAACTATGAATATGACTAGCATTTCAACAAGATATTTTAACTATTTTCATAAATAACTTTTTACAATTAAAATAAATGACAAAAGCCTATGGATGACAAGAACATTGCAAGCAGTTTTACTTTGTGATTAAACTACACTAAACCTTAAAGACCAAGGAAAGCAGCGAAAATATTTATTTATAATTATGAATTGGTGAACTATCTTTCTGTGATCGTAAAAAATATATTATTTAATATCTTTTTACCTGGAATTCAAACATACATTAATTACTTGCTAAATACCTTTAAACCGGAGTAAACTATAGTTAAAATCAATAATTTACACAAACAATAACCAAGTTGGAACCAGTTATTCTAAAAATGCGGCCAAAAATTGCATTTCGTTTTAAGACATAACTAAAAATTATTTTTAATATTAAACTTGTAAATAAACAAGCCAACCTTTCCCCCTAAACACATGTATAAAATTGAATTATTTAAGTAAACCATTTTAACGCATTTGGTTCACCTACTGTAAGGCTTTACCACTTGACCAACATGGTTGGGAAACCTGTGGTAAAAGGCAAGCCCCGCCCTTACGAAAGACTGAGAAGCTTTTCTAGCTTGGGCTTCCTGTGCCTACGACGACGCGCACACCAGGCCAGGTACAGTATTACCCAGACCAACACTCGGCCATTGAATTTAAAAAAAAAACGATATCTAGTGCAAAGAAAACTATAGGAACTGAATTTCTCCCCTTCATTATTCTTTCTTCCTTTCATATCCGAAGTGTTTTACATATGACCAGTCTTAGCACTCAATTCAAAATCCCTTTCCATTCTCGCCGAGGAGCTCTGATTCCGTTCCTTCGTTTGACGCATGCGCAATGTATGCTAAATCGAAGCTTTGAAATTATTTTCCAAATATCTTTTTCTTTAGGCAAAACAGTGCTAATAAAGTCAAACCTTTCTTTTCAAGGGCATTTTTAAAGGTTTTCTAAAAAAACAGCCCTTTTAAAACATTCCTTTTACCATCCATCCATCCATCCATTAGCATCTCGTTCGTTCTCGTTACGCGTGTACTTCATTGCAATTATCTCTCAATCCTCTCCGGATTATGATACACAACAGACACAACCTGGCCTATTCCTTTGGCATGTCCTTCTCGGAAAAGCAGACGAGCACCTTCTCGAATGAACTCTGGCTGTTTGACGAACTCGAATTTAACTTTAGCACGTTGTCCTGTACGCAGATTTTCCTGTAGCGTGAGACAAACCAGAAAATCAAAGTTATTGCGAGTTGCAGAGGTGCTTTTTAGTGGATTTTTTGAAGAATGTCATGGTTCCCCTGCCTTTGGTGCCTAATTTTATGAACGTCCCCAAAAAAGTATGCCCCTTTTAAAACGTAATGATAATGATATATATATCTATATAGCGCTCTTTTCCATATGCATATGTTGAAAGGCGCTTCACGATGAGTTTTTGAACGAGAGGTAGTTAGTATGAGGTGTAGGAACTGAGGGTGGTCACTTTACGTCCTCAGTGGTTCTTTTACATCCCTCCGATATTGGTTAGTAATGATGAAGTGTGGAGAGACGGGACCGCCATTTAAAGTGGTCATCCGAGCCACTTGAAGGTCTAACCATTTGCAGATGTAATTACAAAGGCAGCACCTTCTCCTCAGTTATTTTAAGACCCCGAGTGTTGTCCTGGCCGAGGCTTGAACCACGACCTCCCGCACAACAGACCGACGTTCTTACAAAACAAAAGAATTCCCTTTCGAGGACTGAAATAAAATTTTTCATTGTTTTGAACCCCAGGTAGGGATTTAGAGCAAGAAGTACATATAGGTACCTTATTCATGTCTATAATTATGGCATTTTGAATGACGTTTCCAACATATACTGTAGCCTGGAATCTCTTTTTTATTGCAGCGTGGTGAAACAGTAAGTAGACTTCTGCCCAGAAGATTACACATGCGCGAGGATTGACTTTGGGGTCGGCCATTACCATTCCCTGAAGATATGAACGAATAATTGTTATTGGGCAATCGTTCTCTGGTAACCATGAATTATTCCAAATCGTGCTCTTCCAAATCCAGGAAAAACTCTGTGGGGGGGGGGGGGGGGTACAACGCTGCAGGTTTGCACAGCGGCAGTATACTTCAGTTTTAGGGTTCAATCTGTGAGTTAGCCGTGCCCTGACTTTGATCTGCCCAGAGGTTGTTTCAGGGTTCAATCTGTGAGTAATCCATGCCCTGACTTAGATCAGCCCAGAGGTTGTTTCAGCTTGATCTGTGAGGTATCCATACCCTGACTCAGATCAGCCCTAAGGCTGTTTCAGGGTATTGATAAAATTGGAAGGTTCATTTTGTAATGGTGCGTTTCTGAGAGAATTATTTCAAGTCTTACCCTACGAAGCATGTGTCTTTCAATACCCTTCAACGCCACGGAAGCTGATTGGCCAGCTCGTACCACCCGACAAGACGCTCTGTTCCTCTTGAGTGACGCAACTTGCACAGTTTCAAATTCCCCTGAGCAGAGCGGACCAATCACAAGCTTATCTCCCTCACGAATGATTCCACTGCAACGAAATATTAAATTTTTCGTTCGTTGAAAATATATTAGCCAGAAAATACTAAAAACAAACATTTCGACGGTGCATTTGTTACAAAAACTTATGGTTTTTATGTATTTCCAACGACTAAACGACGTGAATTTTGTATGAAATGAAAAATGAAAAGCTTCACGGTGACTCTCAAAGGGCTTCCGCTCTAAACCTATCAAAAAGCGGGAAAATCCTTATCACCCAATCACATTGAAAGAACTCAGAACTCATTTGAGTTGACAGTGCTTTATTAGAGCAGCTTTCGTATGACTGTGAAAAGCTCAGTGCCGTGCCGTGACCGTGATGTTTTCTAGAATTTTAATTGGCTGATTTTTTTCCCGCGCAATGTGATTGGTCTGAAAGTGCCGTGACTTCGGCGTGACCGTGTCCGCGCCGTGTTTATGCCGTGTTCTAGGTATTTGATTGGATGGAGAGTGAATTCTCGAGCAATGTGATTGGTCTGGCGTATCCCTTGCCGTGTCACGACTGTGTTCGTGCCGTGAGCTTTGCCTAAGTCACATTAAACTTACCTTTTTAAAGTTCCCAACACGACAGGCCCTGTACCAGGAACATTGAAAGTCTCATCAATCTGAAAGAAAGGTAGAAAAAATATTATTATCKTAAACACTTAAACTAGTTGCCAGATGTTATCATTTTTATGGTCAGGCGATATCTTCAGAAAATGGTATTCAAGCAAACAAGGTTTTTTTTACACAGAACTTGAATCTTGACAAATTGTCAAAATTAAGAAAAATGGCGGCAACCAAGCTTCGTACAAAATAATTCGTATCTCGAAAATCAACTATGGAACACTATTTTCTAAAAATCTTAAACATAGGCAAAATACTATTAAATGCGCAATATTGAACAATATATTAAAGACCTAAAATTCTAACTATAAATACCGGTTAGAGACGTTCAGCAATTTACCTCGTATTGAGTTAAGGCTTGAGCAAGTCTTTCTTGATCGGCACTCGTTTTAGTCGGTTGTAACATGTTAAGAAATTTTTTTAGTAGATCTAGATTTTCTCCCGTGACACAAGAGACTGTGAATATTGGTGTAATTCTGAAAAAAGAGGGGGGAAATGTCTCTTAGCATTCAAATTTTGAATTTAAACTGTCCTCCCTCTTATAAAACTGGTTTTGTGAAACACCCTTAACCCTGCTTCCTTCTTAATAACCCCATTTAAAATCTCACTGCCCTTCTCCTATATCAATGATAAAGATGAATGGTCGCTTACTGGTGTGAAGCAAAGTTCTGTGCAGCAACAACAGCGTCATCTTCACCCTGTACTCTCAATGGGACCTTGTTACAACCAGGTGATTTAAGGATTCTTTCCACAATGCTGACAGTTCTTTGAACCATAGCCGGTGTACAGATATCCATCTTGGAGATTACTACAAATGTTGGGACATGCAGAGCCATGGCCAATCCCAAGTGCTCCCTAGTTGTACCAACTGAAGGAAAGCAAGAAATAATGTAAGTATGAGAATTGAACCTTCTCAAAATTGTCTTGAATGTGAGGCTAACACGGAAATACAATAAAATTGCCACAAATTCCCTCGAGAAAAAGTGTAATTTCTTTTGTATTTTCATATTAGCCTTGCATCCAAGTTTTCATCCAGCCTTGCGTTCTAGCTAGTTCACTCATATCAGGTATGCTTTGTTGTTACACCTAGATAGTTTGGTTATTATATATATCAGGCACAATTATTCAATCTGTGAGATAGCTGTACCCTAAGTTTGATCTGCCCAGGAGTTATTTCAGGGTTTGTTATAATTGATGTTTAGTTTGATTTGGTCATAGATAAATAATATCTAAAAATTAACTACAGAAGAGAGATGTGGCATGTCAGCTGAATCACAATTTTTTTTTCAATAGAATTCTTTCTGGTTAACAGCACATGGAGGTCAATGTTTGAATACCATTTGGATCAGATAATGAGAATCAAAGACTTTTATCAGCTAATCCAGAAATTTGTATAAATCATAATTTTATTTACCAATGCCTGAATTTCCAGCAATAACAAGCATGGCGAAGTCTGGTGTGTAGCCAGTCAGACCAAAGATGGTTGTTTTCATGTACTTGTGATGGCCAGCAAGATCTATAAAGGTTATCAACTTGCTTGACTGCTCACAAATGTCTTCTGCTGACCTGGAATCGCTGTAGTTGATGACCTGGGGGGAAAAAATCAAATAACTGTGAAGGCACTGTCCTCATAAAAGTACAGCAATTTTCTACACCAAGGTTTGAAATAGTAAAAATATGTAGGCAGACATTGTTTACCAAGAGAGGACTGAAAGAATAACAGTAAGCAACATTTTTGTTTTTGATATAATTTCAAAATTACTTTCACCTTCCATTAGAAATATTTGGCTTGTATTTTGGCCATTGGGAGCTGCTAATTTGAGCCCTGACTACGATGGTTTTAAAATGGTCTGTTCACTGCTCAATAGACCTCTTCGGCTTGGGTAATGTTTTCCCATTTCAGACCACCTGTCATTCCCTTGAGAATAAGATTCTCTGTTTGAGCTGTATCCATATTCATGTGTCTTCTCATGTGCAACCGAGTGCAAACCTTAAACAAAGAAATGATACTCTAGGGAATGACATGTGGTCTGAAATGGGAAAACATTACATCAGAGCCAAAGAGGACTATTCCAAAAATCATACAACGGTCACAATAATGATTATGCATCAATACCTCTCCCTTGCTGTTGAACCCTAAAATCTCATGGCTGATACTCGACGTCCTTCCAGATTGAATCTCATGCAAGTGTCTAAACAGGTTGAGTCTGGCACGGCCATGACCATTGTCCAGCTCATCATGTGTCAAGACACCTAGCAGAGTGCTCTTGCCTGTGTCGACATTACCAAGGACTGCCATTCGAATATCGATAAACTGAAACACAGTGAATTATACATTAATTTTATTCAATATTTATTACAGATGTCTGGTTCCAGAGTATTCCTATAATGGACATTGTAGATATGATGGTTCAAAGGGGAGGCATTCATTGATATTTTCTGGAACTCCACAATACCCTTGTCAGACCCTCCTCACACCTTAGAAATCTCAATCCCCCTCCATTAGGAAGGTATGGATATTTCCTGGAACTACACAGCGTACCCTCCTGGCACCCTCCCCACCCCTTGGAAATTCCAACCCCCTCCATGAGGGAGGTATAGATATTTTTTTGGAACTACACAATATACCCTACTCAGACCCTCCCCACCTCTTGCATAATCCTAATCCCCCAAGTAATAAATTCTGACATTTTCGGAAACTAATTTTTTTTCTCACATTAGGAATTTAAAATTAAAGAATCTTCAGTACCTGTTGGTCATCTGGAACTTGTCTCACTAACACCTCTGCTACTTGTCTGGATGGACAGTCATCAACAATGTCAACATACTGATGGCGTAATATACTTGTTGATGCCCCAAGTTTTGACGCCATAAGTTCCAAGGTCTTTAATGAAGATTGAAGTTCTTTCTCAGGTAACCCAATGACCAGACCATTGTCTTCCACACCGATCTCGTAAATCGCCTCTCCTTGCCCTTCTTGTAGCCTCCATTTCATTTGTGTGGTAAGATGAATCAATCTGCTATCCGATGGGTTTACCAGCTTCAACTGTTAAGTCAATTTTACAACAACATTGAAATTTCACGTAATTCTGACAAAAAACTTATACATTGACATGATGCAAATTTCTTAGAATTATCCATAGCTTTAAATCTGAACAAATTTACTGTAAGATCGAAAATCAAGTCATTTTGTCACGAAATTCCACCTGTATTTTGTAACAGTGGGAACCCTGTGCGTTCATAAAACCAAACAAGTTTTTCGTTTCAAACCAAACTTTTTTTGCATCAAGAAAATTTTCTAAGATTTTCATAAAGAGAAGAAGAAAACCCACTGATACGTAGAGAGATGTGTTGCATTCGCGAGAAATTCTGTAAGCTTAACCTCAGTGACGTGTAATAAAGAAAGAATATTTTAAAAATACGATATTTTTCGATATTTCGTTGTTGTTAACAACAAGTAAACAGAAAAAAGATATCAATTATGTTAGTTTTCTATCTAGCAATTTAATGTAATTTCACTCGAGTAGTAAGCGCAGAGAAGCGGATAATCAAACGTCTAAAATTTCGACTTATAACGAAAAGAGCGCACATAAACAATGACTGTCGTTTCGTGTTTACCTTGTACTCAACGTTCCCCTCTTCGACCTGCAAGGCACAATAACGACAGTTAAAAGGGTAAAGTAGATAAAAATAAAAAGCAATACTGGATCAGAAAGATCGTTGTATTTTTTACCTCAGGTGGAAGGCTCTGTGGCATCGGCTCTAAGCTGCTCGACTCATCTGTGGAGCCATTTCTAGTCGAATTCCCGAACAATCCAACGAATGTCTCCATGTTTCATATCTCTTGGTTAGATGGTAGTTTGAAGGATGGTTGTACTTCGTTATTCATAGAGATCGGGTGAGTATCTTGTGAGCTAGGTCGAGGGATTTGGATGTTTTTGTTGTCATTCTTGCTTAGACCGCCATTTTGATTGTCACCACTTGTCCACGGTGTTACATCAGAAGGAATCCCGGATGATGATGCAAACCAATTCTATGACGTCACAGATAACTTTTGTAAAGACGAGAGTTTATAAATTTCTCCACACTTTGGCTTTAATTAGAAAAATTAAAAATGGAAAGAAAAAAGAAAGAAAGAAAGCAAGAAACAAAAAATATACATACATACATAAATATAGAGAGATATTTTAAACATTTGTTCYTGGTATCTACGATATTTCTGCCGTTCCTTTTTTCGATTTTTACCTTCTATTTCTCCAGGCGAAACTTTCTGGAAAATGAAGTCTTCATTACGATTGTAAAACAGCTTATATTTTAGCAAAGAAAGAGTTACCGTAAGGAATTTACTACACTAGAATATTTTCGAAAAACTTTATTCTCCCCATCATCGCACTCTAACTTTAAAACAAACACCGATATGACGTCATAGTCATTATCTATCCTTGTAATACATGCCCAAACAAAGGACGTTTCCCTGGAGACCCAAAAAGATCATTGAATCCTTGACATTTGATATTTGACAGGATTCAAAACTGTTGACATATCTGAGTCGTTCCATGACAACCATCACAAATCATCTTCCTCCATTCCTTTGAACAAGATGTCTGGATTCTTCCAGCTTGCTTCTGCAGTCTTTACGAGAATTATATTTTTTGTTCATGGATTCATATCAGTTTATTTTGTCGTTCAAAGTGAGAAAAACGCCAAGTATTGGTGGCTTTGTACTGGATTAGTGTTCTTGGTTCTCGAGTCATTCTACACGATCATCATACGAAAAGGCCAAGAATACAAGTAGTGAGTACTAGAGTTCATAGCAACTGTATTAATCTAGAGTTTGGGTTTATAGTACTATACAATTACAATTACATGTCCAATTGATTACGGTGTCTAATTGTTATGGTGATTCTCGCTGCGTTTTGTTTTGTAATCCATTCGCGTCTCTCGAGGCTTTTTATCACGAAAGAAGGACATTACGACAGTACCAAATACATAAGAAAAGAATGGCTTGCTCTCTAACTTAGTTTTAAGGGATCCAGATGTGAAAATTCTCTGATTTTTCGAGGGTAAGATGACTGGTAAGGAGCGTGACGGTATTTCCGTTTTATGATCAAGCGCCAACGAATAAAAGGTTAAATCAGAAATTTGCATCGCCATTGCCTATATCTATATCATATCCGGATAATTAAGTCCTTGAAGTATATTACTACCAAAAAAAATCACATACAATAAAAATTAAACTGCTTATTTGTTGGCTTAACTTTACGCTGGCCCGTGTAGTAAGCGGCATGGAGCAAGTTAAAAACTGCCGGGTATCTGTCGGGCATTTATTACACACCCAGTAGTCTAATCATGAGAAATTTTTCTGCCACAAAGAGTCATTCGTGTTCTGGATTTCCCGCCGAGGAAAAACAAATAGGTCAAATTAAAATCTATAGATCAGGGGAGAATCGCTTGAAGTGTCCCTACAGTTATGCGTGACGACCCCAAGAACGGCTGCGAAGGAGGCTACGGAAAGCAAAGCAATATAGAGAAAATACTGTGGAGTGTTGTCAGTCATTGTTCCTTAGCAGCTGTACGGGTTTAAATTCAATGAACAAATTAATGAAAAGAAAAAAAGAAAGAAAAAAAAAAAAGGAAAGGAAAAAAAAAGGGAAAAAAAAAGAGAAAATCCTTTTTTAATAAGGTGGGATTTGAACCTGAGTGCACCGACAGAAATTCAAAAAAATCGATTCAATTGTGCCATACCCCCGAGACATCCGCAGAGCTGAGGCGTCGTATGGACTTCGGACYTGACGGCGATTAAATCCTTCTGCCCTTGGGTGTACGAATTACGCAAGAAAATGTTCTAGCCGAAGCATCAGGGGAGAGACCAGCCGGCCCCCAGACCATATCGGCTAATCCCTTGCATCTCTGCCACGCACGGAATCGGTTGAAAAACTAATGTTAAAAAGTCTAGTCTATTTGGTGCTTTGTTTTCACGGCTATTGTTATGCGCTGATTCACCTATATCCGTGGCGCAGTGGAGAAAAAGCTGTTCTCCAAAAATACTGTAAAAGTCAAGCCCGGTGCAGCGAGGTTTGTGTGTGGATGGGTGACCCCAAACTTATACTGACCTACGAAAGCTTTTGTTCCTGATTTTATTTCTTTTTTCTTCTCTTTTCTTTTCTTTTTCTTTTTTCTTTTCTTTTCTTTTTTTCCCCCCCTTTTTTCTTTCTTTTTTTTTTTTAAAGAATTTACCGGTATGAACGCACTTATGACACTCCTGTGACAACTAACATCTTCCCGAAAATACGGTTATTCGGAATTGCCTTTATTCTCTTCTCTTTGAAGTTATCTGTAGGTATAGGTTTATAGAAAGATCCCTTTGGCTCGATCAAAACTCGTCTTAGTCGAGAAAAAATTGCATTTCTCAAGGATTTTTAATCCATGTCGGTCGTTTATACAAGAGTACGTCGTGGTCGCTTAGTGAAGGATTTAGTTACAGAGTTCGTTGTGGTTTCTTAAGAGTGGTCGTAACTAGAGCTTGTCGTTTACGAGGGTGGTCGTTACATTTTGATGAGACCTAATGACGTCACCAGGGTGGGGAAGAGAAAGAATACCAAGATTACGTAGTATTTTTTCAAGTAAGATAGAGCAGTTTTCGTATGACTGGGAACGATTACGTAAGCGTGCCATGCCGTGCCGTGACCGTGACTGTGATGTTTTCTAGAATTTTAACTGGCATTGCCGTGACCTTGGCGTGATCGTGTCCACGTCGTGTTCATGACGAGTTTCGGGTATTTGATTGGATGCAGAGTAAAATCTCCCGCAATGTGATTGAACTGGCCGTGACTTTGGCGTGACTGGCATTTAATTGGATGCCGAGTAAATTATCGCGCGATGTGATTGGACTAGCGGTGGCCTTGCGTGACCGTGTCCATGCCGTGTTTTTGGCATTTGATTGGATGCAGAGTAAATTATCGCGCAATGAGACTGGTCTGGCTTATGCCTTAACGTGTCATGACCGTGTTTGTGCCGCGAGATCATCACAGGCATACGAAAAGTGCCCTAATGCATACTCAATCTCATCCAATAATTGTATACAGTAAACTGATAGTTATATTTCTATAAACTCAGTTTTTGGCCTGGTAGTTTTCTGTACATGTGCACTGTCTTGCCAGCCATCTGGGTCGCTGAGCTGAGCATCTTGGCTGAAAAAGAAAAGCAAGACCCCAAAGAGTGTATATTGGCTGAACAAAAGAATATACACTACTCAAGCATCTACGGAGTGGTTAGTTTGAAACTCTTATATTACTCACTTGTAAAATCATTGTTGGGTTCAAAAGTTAGAACATAGAAGCTGAGATCGAAATTGTACATGGAAAGTGTGTTAATATGCCGTGTATTATAAGTGATACAAGAAGTTGACTGACAGAAAGCATTGAGACTTTTAACACTTTTAACACATGTTTATTATCGACTGGGTATCTCAAAATCTGTTTGCGATCGGTCTCAGCCTTCTGACAACCTTTTTGTAATTGAGTGTAGAGAGCGAGATAGTGAGAGAAAAACACTTGAAGGAAAGGAAGGAAGGAAGGAAGGAAGGAAGGAAGGAAGGNGTAGGAAGGAAGGAAGGAAGGAAGGAAGGAAGGAAGGAAGGAAGGAAGGAAGGAAGGTAGGAAGGAAGGAAGGTAGGAAGGAAGGAAGGAAGGAAGGGAGGAAGGAAGGAAGGAAGGAAGGAAGGTAGGTAGGAAGGAAGGAAGGAAGGAACAGAGGAAGGAAGGAACAGAGGAAGAAAGGAAAGTCAGAAAGAAGAGAAAGGAAAAAGACAACATAGAATAAAAGAAGAAGAAGGAAAAAAAGAAAAGAAAAGAAAAAAGAAAAGAAACTAAGAAGTAAAGAATGAAAGATAGAAAGAATTCATGCAATGAAAAAATTCCCTCAATTAAATATTCACATTTCTTGATGTAATTACTTTACAGATAAACATCAGAACAGATTCCAGTACACAAGCTCAAAAGTTCTCAAAACTCGGCCTTATTCTCGTTATTATCATTGGCCGTTGGCTATTACCACGTGGTTCATTAACACGTGATCAGCTGTCTGCGCTCCTATTGGTCTACGTTGCTAATGCTGCTGATATAATGGGTAAGAATTATTTTGCGCTGGTTATTCCACAGGTAACCCAAGTTGTGGCTTTGAAAAGTACAAGCATTATAAACTAAGCTAAAAACTAATTTCTGAGCTACAATTAGTATTAAGAGAAAACGAATAGACCGTTGTCTCAAGGATACGTGCGCATCCAACTTGACAGGCCACAAAAAACGCAAATTCAGTAAAATTGAGAAGACAGTTTCATATTCAAAGAGGAGGATAATCGATTTTATGAATTCTTATCGAAAAAATGTCATAGCAATGCAAGATAATACTCATCATAAAGCTTGTGTTCTGGTATCGTGGCCCGCGTCAAGTTCCTTAAATTTGGATGAGCACGCAACCTTGAGAAAACGGTTTATTAGTAAATTTTCCCTTGATACTAAGTACTAACGTATTTGGGGTCCCTGTGTTGTTTTTTTCGTAATGGGATCCCTGTGTTGTTTTTTTTCGTAATGGGATTTTGCATATTTTTCCAGAGTTGTTTGAGCTTTTCGACGTCAATCCAAGTCTATGGTGCCGTGATGGTGTAGCCAAGGCTGTGCTCGCCACTTATACCTGGTGCTTTATGCAATTCACTCTTGTGTTTACTGCCACTACTAGAACAGTGCCCGACGAAGCAAAGAAAAAGGTACGTCTCCCCTATGAGGACTGGGAACGAGGAGAGGGACAGTTTCACAAATTTCTTAACCCGGTCCCTTCCCGTGTAGTTCTGCTCCATTCTTTCTACTATTTTCCCTTAAGATTTACCCTCCCCTACCCCTTGGGGCTTGGTAACTCCGGAAGATTTATAGTACCATTTTTTATTTTTTATTTTTTCATTTTATTTTTAAGATGAGCGAAGCAATGTTCAAGACTCAAGAAAATACAGAAATGAGACCCGGTACGAAGTACAAAGGTCGGGAGAAAAAGCTCCCTCGATATATAAGAAAAATGATCAAACAAAAACAACTGGAACGGCTGACAAAATTCGAAGATGAGCTTAACCAAGTTTACGGTTCCCCAGTGGAAGCTCCGAAACCCAAGAAACAAAAACAAAAAGGTCGAAAATACGGAATTTACTCCATGCACGAGACTGTCAACGATGTAGTAACCGTACAACGAAAGATCAAAATCGAGGAAGAAATTATCGAAGAGGTCATCAAGGAGAAAGAGAAGCTTCGTCTCCATGGTGATTTGTATTCAATATTAACCTTAATGTTGATGCAAGACGGGCCGTTTCTCTGTGTTCGGCTCGTTATGACACTTTCTTATGATGTCGATGACGAAACGCATTTATTTTTCACGGGGAAAAATGCGATTGCATTATCGGTATTGATATATCGACTGATAGTCTTACTTTACGAAGGCAAGGATGAAAATGTCGATGATGAGGACGTCGAGTTTACTCAACGACCCAAGCCGTTTGCTATAAGTTTTGATCGTGAAACCGCTAACAGCAGACAAAGTGGGCGCAGAAAAATGGTTACGTCACCAGTATAGCATGCGCATGTGTCTTAAAAAGGTGGCTTCCATAGTTTCGTATAGCAATCCTCTAAGGTCTACGGGACGACTTATCTCTTCCTTAGGCTTCGGCTGAGCTTCCTGATCAGTCCGTAAATCTCCGGATAGCGGTATCAGGGCCGAAATCTCCAGCATTACCGTAAATGCTTCGAGCTGCCATACGACGGTTCAGGAACTCTATGTACCTAATTTCATCAACCAAGCAAATAATATTGATCTAAAACCATAAATTAGAAATGTGGTTAAAAAAATGCTTTGAGACACCTTATATTTATTCGTACTAAAGAAAACAAATTGATTCATGATTAAAGATTCGATAGAAATTACACATTGTGATCGAAGCTCATAAATGAATACCACAAAATCGTAACAAAATAGAAAATTTTCGCATTTTCGTAGCATTGTTTTTTGGTTTTTTTTTTTTAATTTACGAATTTTTTATATCATACTTGAAACACGTCTGCAATTTCGCGCCTTTTTATATAGATATATATATATATTTTTTTTTTCTCTTCGATTTCTTATGGAGGCCATGTTTGATGGACAATGGACCACTAATTTTTTATCCTGTTTTTACCAAAAAATTTAGTTCTTCGCGAGGTTAAAGCGCCTCAACATAAAAAAGCCGCTTTAATGCATTATATTTCCATCCTCAAGTCTCGTTTGAAATCAAAACAAAACTTCTGTTTTTCAGAAAAATACATTTGAGTAGGAGGGGATTGTCAAAACAAAATAGCGCTTTGGCTGTGACGTCATGAATATCGAGAAATGCTGTTGTAATAATATGATTATTTTTTAATTCATAGAAAAAAGCATGAGATGTAACACTATAACATTCGGTAACCCATATTTCTCGCGGCGTCAAATCTGCCAGTTATCATAAAAATATAATTGATGTAAAATTATTGAATATTCTCTAATTTTTAAAATAAATATTGTGAATTATTGTAAATTATTTTCCGAAGTTGTTTAATGGATTGCCATGAAGAAATTTTTTGAGTTGCTTGGTGTATTGAGACAATTTCTAACTTCTCTAAGGTATATTTATATTGCATACAGTACATAGCCGGCCATATATTTTACGTTGAAAAAGTCGAGAGGGCGAGAGTGATCTCACTGACTCTTTCTAAGTTTTGCCAAATTTCTTATTTCTCTAATATTGAAATAAAAGATTTTTTAAAAAGATGAATTGTTAATAACACGAACTAGGCGTAGGATAAGTAGGACTAAATACGAAAGGATAGGTGATAAACATTCAAAAATACTAAAAAAAACATCCAAGTTTTGAACGAATCAACGGAGATAAAAACAACTGTCGTACTTCACTGACGTAGGATTTGAATTATCCATGCTTGTTACAAAATTGAAAACCAATTTCCATACATTTTTCTTTAACTTCCTGCGGTTTATTCAATTTATTTCGTCTAGCTGCAAGAAAAGAAAAGAAAAAGAAAAAAAGCTGATTACTATGATAATTCTTTTTTACCGCGATAATTTTTTTAGCGACGCCATTCATTTGTAAAAATAACTGTTGCTTGACGTAGTTTCTTTTTCAAAGATGAGAACCTATGCATTTTGCTGATCTTTCTGTTTTGCGGTGTTGGAATTTCAGTCTCACCTTACATCTATATAACTCTCTAGGTTTCTCTCTGTGATACTCCAAATAAACCATTTATTCTAGGCCTAGGTCAGCAGGTGTGCTAGATAGAGTGAAGAGAACTAAAAATTGAAATTAATAATTGATAACGGTTCGCGATCCAAATTCACAAATGACAACTGATTAGTTGCCTGAAGAAAAAAAATAATTCACATATCTGTGTTTCCCGCTGCGAGAGTGACAACGAAAGTGCCTTACATTGTTTTCTGTTATGTTAACCCGACGTTAGTTCTCCATGGTCGGCTCGACCTTTTCAAAAAACATGGGAAGTTAATCTAGCCATTGCATCCGCTAAGATATAACCTTAAGGGTTGAAAATTAAAAGTAATGGAGGATTGTAAGACCTTGTAAGGTGAAGTAGGAACAATGAGATCGGCTCTACGAGCTACGGCGTGCCAGGACGAAGAGTCGAGTAAAAGACGAAATGTGATATCGAGAAAATACCAACAATTATCCTTAAAAACAGCGGAAAGAGGAAAAAGTTCGGAGAAGATATGGAACAGAGTTAAGATTAATATCAGTGGAATGATTTTTGAGACTTTTGAGTCAACGCTCGCACGTTTTCCTGACACCTTACTGGGATGCCCAGACAAAAGACGAAAATACTACGATACTCAACATGAAGAATATTTTTTCAACAGAAACCGTAATGCTTTTGATGCTATTTTATTTTTCTATCAATCGGAAGGAGTCCTTGTTCGGCCAGAAACCGTATCGCTTCAAAATTTCTACAACGAACTTGAATTTTTCCAGGTTGGAAAAGAAGTTGTGGAACAGTACATGAAGGACGAAGGGATACTCGTCGAAAAAGACCCTCGAGATAGAGTTCTGCCAGCCAGTCCTGCTATGAGAATTATCTGGCTGTGTTTTGAGTATCCACATAGTTCAGAATATGGAAAACTCCTTGCTTGTTGGTCTGTTTTGTTTATTTTTATTTCAATCTTTGTTCTCTGTGCCGAGACTTTACCGCCAAATGCCGACGAAAATATCGCAAGGGAAACCCGACTTTCGTACGAAGCAATCGAAATTGCATGTGTTGTCTGGTTCACCATCGAAATAATTATTCGTTTTATTTGTTGTCCTCAGAAACAGAGGTTTTTGAAGGACTTTTTGAACTATATTGATCTAGCAGCTGTTTTACCGTTCTATACCAAGCTTATCCTCGGTTCACCGGAATTTGACAGACTTGGAGTTATGAACGCTTTCCGCCTGTTACGAGTTTGCAGAATTTTTAAACTTTCTCGGCATCTCGAAGTACTGCAAGTCTTGGGCCGAACGGTCGTAGCAACTTGGAGAGAATTATTAATGATTCTGTTTTTCATTATAATAAGCATGATAATGTTTTCTGGTTTGACGTATTACGCTGAATACGAAGCTCAAAAAGACAAGTTTACAAGTATTCCTGACACGTCATGGTTTGTCATCGTGACTTTGACCAATGTTGGTTACGGAGATGCTGTACCCGTGACCGCTTTGGGGAAAATCCTCGGAACCGCTTGTGCGTTGGTTGGAGTCTTAGCAATAGCTTTACCAAGTCCAGTAATTGCAACACGTTTTAAGCAATTTTACAATCAAGAAAAGTTAGAAAGAAATCAGGGGATTTTGGTTGTTTCGTCATCTACAGCAACAGCAGATAGGACAGATATTACTGACATTTCTTTAGCTTGAGCATAATGTTATATTTACCGACATCAATCATAGGATACTACTTAACAAACACTCGTTTAAGGCAAACGTGAAACGTCAGTTGACCATTAAAAAATTCTYTAAAATTAGTGAAAAGGAATCGCAAAAATCTCCAAGTAGTAGATAAACAAAAAAATTACTAGTCTTTGTCGAGATTGAAGGTTTGCAAGGTAAAGTGAAATGTAGGGAAACGATGAAAACGTGGTCTGCACGTTTGCCGTTTGCGGGAAGGAAAAACGTAAATCTTAATCTGCCTACTAACACTTCATGGGCTACATAATAAAACTATTAGTATTGAAACACGTATCAGTTATTATGTGTATATATTTTGTAACGTCCGAGGATGAACTTGTTACGAAATCCACAGTAACTACTTTCTCAAATACAGGTGCTTTTGAAATTTACTAAGCTTTACTACAATTTTCTGCAAAAAAAAAACCAAACTTTCTTTGGTAATTTTTTCTTCTTCTTTTTTTTGAAACGTGATGTTGAAGCCTGTATAATGCGAATAAAGATATTTAATCCATCAAATCTTTTGATAAATCCATCACTGAAATCAATAATGACTTTCACTACCTTTACAGCAAATCATCGGATCCCATCGGATATGTTTTAACGATGTTGTGACTATTTTACAGCTGGCATATCACGCTTTTTAGTATCCGCTTTCAGGGGGAATTCTTATAATTGTAGTTCTAAACATGTAGATAAAGCGTCGACTTTTAATGTTTCATGCTGTGTTTTGATGACAAAGTGCCATTTAAACGGTGACTGGAAGGACTTCCATTCAATTCCACGTAACTTCAACTAGTTATACTGGTTTCATTGATGAATTTTTGTGCAATCTTTCCGATAAATAAATACGAAGAACTGTTAACACTTGCGTGCCGTACTGCTGGGGGAAAAGCAAGAAAAATGAAATGTTATTCCTAAACCTAAGACCATGAATTTGAAAAACAATATTGTAAATCATTCACTTTTGAGTTTCGTTAATAAAACAATCTACTTAAAATTCTTTATTTTTATCTAAAAATCAGAAGCAAATCTCTTCAAAGAAAGAAATTACAGTAAAGTGCGGCTGCTTTCCAAGTCAAAATAAATAATTTACCCTTTTTCAGCTTGTTCCTATTTCCGCTGTATAACTTCATACAGCAGTGTTCATTATATCAGCTCATAAATAGAAATGGATCGAAAAGATCGCTGAATTGTTCTAACAATTTTTTATACAAAAATCCATTGACCATCTTTTTACAAATGCGTCAAATACGTCAGACTTTTCCTTCTTTAACTTAGATATTAAGTAGATTTTGTGTAAAGAGCGCAGTCGGCTTAGGATGGATAAGAAAGGACTTGGCTCACCATGCTCCGATATTATCTTCCAACAGCCTGAACGTTTAACTTGAAGTTCAGAAGTTTGGTTTTGATGTAATTTACTGATCACTTGGAACATATCGTCAGACGCGTAGGCTCGAATTTCAGCCGTGGTGGTTTCGGCGCGGTGCCGTTGAAACTCTGAGCCAGGACGGGTTGCCTAAAACACTATATTAGTACTATCAGTAGCGGCAAACCATAAGACGGAATAATAAATAACTGCTATATTTTTGGTGGCACTATGACGCGTGACTTTACGTTTTCATCGAAATGCTATCGACCCTTTCTTTCATCCACCCACCCATCCACCCA